CTGGGGGTCTGCCGAGCGACCCCGAGCCACTTCCGAGGCAGGCCGAGCGCCCCCCCGGGAGGGCGGGGCCGCCGGGGCAGCTGGAACCCGGGCCCAGGGAGCCAGTGCTTCCACCCGGGCTTTGGGGAGGGGCGCGTGGGGGTGGAGGGAGGAGGGGCCGATGAGTGCAGAAGGTGGCATCCCGGAGGACTTCGGACGCCCCCCAAAAGTGCTCGGCTTACAGGGAGGGGAGGAGGAGGAGAGAAGGACCTGGGCTGCCCGGGCTTCTCCCTCCGCCGTCGCCCGGCTGGGAGCAGAGGTCACATCCTGGGAAAGACCCCAGACCTGCTTTTCTGCGCAGGCTCCGGGTACGTGCGATTTGCAGTGCGAACCCCCTTCACCGGTTGTAGAAGGGGTGCTTTATGAACGTGGTGGGCCTTCCTGACGCCCGAGGATCTGCAGTCGGTTGGACACTGAGAGAGATCACAATATGACAGGATTTGGAGCTTTGCATTCAATCAAGTCTGGTTTCTAGAAATTCCTGGGAAGTTCTAGGGACCGCCGTAGCTCCTTTTGCTCCCATACAAGCTCAAATATTTTTATAACAATCACACTAAATTGTGATTTAGCAGTGCCACTAAATTTCTCCTTAGCACTGTACCAGATTTGGTTTTTAAAACATTCAGCCATCAAATCAGGGCTTTGTTTCTTACCTGTATGTCGTTGAAGTTGAAGGGAAAGGATGCCACCCACCCAAGTACAACAGTGTCACACACACAGGAGCTTGACCGTGCAGCAGACAACCCTCCTTAGACTTCCACGGTCCGCTTTAAATTATCTCATTCAAACTGCCGTCACTTCCCATGGCAACAGTGGCTTCAGTTACAACACAAGACATAAAGGAGGCTGATGGCTGTCCAGTACCCGGGAAAGCGACCTGGGTTCTACGACCCAGCCAAACCCCTTCCACCGTATTAAGGTTCATAAAGTAATCGTGCACTCTGCACAGTCTTAAGGAAACCTGTAAGCTAGGAGTGTGAAAACTGCAAGAGTCCTTACTGGTCATGATTTGAGCCTCCAGAAAGAGCAGCCCCTCCATTACCCAAAATATGTGTTTTGAAGAAAATCACCACATGTAAACCTGGATGTTTGGTTTCACATATCCTGGTAGAGCTGATGAAGATGGTGGCATTCCCTGCCCTATGAGCTTTGAAAAGATGGAACAGAGTCTCATGTAGCCCAGGCTGGCCTCAAATTCACTGTGTAGCTGAGGATGACCTTGAGCTCCTGATCCTCCAGCCTCCATCTCCTGAGTGCTGGGATTACAGGGAACACACCCCTGTGCCCAGCACCAAAACATTTCTTAAAACTAGACTGCATCCTTTTTGTACTGCTGATGGAAGACAAAAAGTAAATACCCTGAACTTACTAGGGCTGAGGAAAATTATCAAAAGGTGGTTATTAAGATGGATATTTCCGGGATGTAGTTCAGTGGTAGAGACTTTGCCTAGCACTCATGAGGCCCCAGGTTCAATATCAAGTACCACCGAATGAAACATTTCTCTTGTGAAATTTAGATTTCTGATATTTTAAAATATGTGTGTAGGATCATAGAGCTTGTGTCATCAAGTAAAGGCACTTGCTGCTGAGCCCCAAGACCTGAGTTCAATCCCAGGACTTGTATGGTGGAGAGAGTGAGCTGACTCCTATGAGCTGTTTTCTGACCTCCACACAAATGCCATGACACCTGTGGGCACCCACACATAAAAAATAAATTGTATGTGCGTGTGTGTGTATGTGTTTGTGTAAGCTAGGGATGTAGCTCAGTGGTAGAGCACTGGCCTACTGTGCACAAAACTCTGAGCTCAATCTCCAGCACTGAAAAAAAAAAGTATCTAGCCTATGAGTTCAACCAGAAAAGATAGAAAAATCATGCATGTATAAGGAAAAGAGCTGACAGAGACCATAGGAAAAGAAAAGATTTGATTTGATGAAGCAACTAGGACAGAGGATGAATTGCTTAGCATAAGACCAGACATGCTGGTGTACACCTTTAGTCGCAGTGCTCAGGAGCACTCAGATCTCTGGGAGTTTGAGACTGACCTGGTCATCATAATGAGTTCCAGGCCAGCCAGGGCTACGTACTGTTTCAACAAACAGACAAACAAAGTTAGTATAAATTGTATACTTGGATGCTGACTATATTTTTAAAGATTAAAAAAATTATGTGTGTGTGTGTATGTGTGTGTGTGTGTGTGACTGTGTCTGTGTGTGGGCGTGTGAGGAGGTGGTGTCTGAGCTCCCTGGAGCTGGAGTTACAGGCAGTTGTGAGCCACCTGAAACGGATGCTGGGAACTGAACTCAGGTTGTCTTTAAGAGGAGCACACACTGTTAACCGCTGAGCCATCTCTCCAGCCCCTATATAAGTAAAACAAAATGTTTTGTCCTATTGCTATTCTCGGGTTGGAATGGTCCCTAAGGAAATAGATCACGAACTCTGAGTGCTCTTTCCATACAGGGAAGTGCTTTCCCAGTAGCTGTCTAGGAGACTCCAGCCTCCTTGTGTGTACTATAACCCTAATCTATAATCCACAGTAGGGCGGGTTGGTGCTTTATGCTGTTAGAAAGACCTGCTGAAGTGAAATAAAGACCTCAAAATGTGTAGAAAGGAGTCCAGTCCTTTCAGGAGACTAATCTTAAGATTGGGTGGAGAATTGATGAAAGCAGATTTTGTTTGAAATACCATAATGAAACCTAATACTAAATATGCTGATACGTTTTTAATTAAAAAAGAGAATGATCTTTACATCGAACATTCTAAATACGCAGTTGTTTCTTTTTCAAATTTCTAATGTTTTACTGACACGTTAGACAAGTGCTGTACCACTGATCTACACCTGTAGCCTGACTCTTAACTGTAAGGTTTAAGGACCCAAGTTGAGCCCCCTGGCCTCAGTTCCTCATCGATAAAGGGCAAGAATGCCCGGATTTATTGACGGGCAGGATAGAATGCTTAACCACAGTGAACATGGTTTATTACTGTTCTGCCAAGTGAATTAATGATTTCAGCCTGACCCTGTTCTAAGGCATTTTGTTAGGAACTGGGATCTTTTTTTTATATTTTATTTTTATAATTTTGATTTTATTTTATATGTATGAGTGTATTGCCTGTAAGAATGTAAGTGCACCCATGTGGTGCCGAAGACCCGGGTTCAAATCCCAGCACCCACATGGCAGCTAACAACTATAACTCCAGTCCCAGGGGATCTGACAGGCACTTCTGACCTCCATGGACATTGAACTACACGGGTGCACTTACCTACACACAGGCAATACATGTGTACATATAAAAATAATAAAAATTTTTAAAAAGTTAAAAAACAACAACAACAAAAAGCAGATAGTGTGCTTAACCACTGAGTCATCTCTCCAGCCCAGGACCTGGGATCTTTAAGACTCGGATTTGATGATGAGTATTGTAGAAAAAAAATTTAGTCAGAAGTTCAAGTTCATTATCAGCTGTATAGTGAGTTTGAGACCAGCTTTGGTTATATGCAGATGTTCAAGGCCTTCTTTGACTGCATAGGTTGAAGCCAGCCTGGACAATATGAGACTCAATCTCAAAATAAATAACCAAGCAAACAGCAATAACTAAAGCAAATAAATACCTCTATATTTAGTAAGTGTATGTGATAAGAGGATATATCTGGTGGAAATGACAAACCAGAATTGAGGAAGGAGGGAAGGAGGGAGGGAGGGAGAGAAGGAAGGAGGGAAGGAGGGAGGGAGGGAGAGAAGGAGGGAGGGAGGGAGGGAAGGAAGGAAGGAGGGAGGGAAGGAAGGAAGGAGAAAGAAAGCCCATTTTCTAGCTTACATTTGTGCTACAGAAGGAGAGGTAACAGAGAAGAAAAGGAGAAACCCTACATATTTTATCCAAGGTCATGCAATACATTGGCATTGGTGGCAAATAGCAAAGATGACCTTTACTACCCACAGATGACCTTGTTGGTCCTGGCAATATTGGTGTAGAAGAGGAACCTTGATTATATTCAAGAAAAAGATATTATATACAAAGGGCTCTGATGATGTTTTCAAGAATGCACCATCAGCCCAGTGTGATGGTGTGGGTTGGAAGGTGTACACAGGAAGGTCAAGAATTGAAGGGCAAGAGGATTAGGAGGAGTGCCAGGCCAGGCTCTGAGACAGTAAGTTCCGGGCCAATCTGGGCTGCACGAGACTCTGTTTTAAGAAACCTAAATCAGACTGGAGAGATGGCTCAGTGGTTAAGAGCACTGACTGCTCTTGCAGAGGACCCGGGTTCAATTCCCAGCTCCCACATGGCAGCTATGAACTGTCCTTAACTCCAGTTCCAGGGGAATCTGAAGCCCTCTTCTG